CTTGTAATTTGACAATCATTAAGTTTTTAAAGATATTTTGTTAACATAGGAACATGGGAGCAGAAATGTTATTGATGGTGATTAGTGAACGAATCAGCTCGCTGTAGAAAAGAATTAATAATAATTGATTAGGGCTGATGAGAGCCTCAATATTGTGTGCATAGGTGTTATTTTTCTTTTTCTCATTAAATTTTCCTACGTTTTTCATTCAAATTTGCTAATATGTATTTAATATTATTTAATCCTTCTTTGGACATTTAAGTAATTGCATTTAGTTGCGTCAAATAACCGCAATTTAGTTAACTGTACTTATGAAAACAGGTAGCTATGTAAATACTTGATGTAAGATGTAAGAAGAGCAAGTTCTTGAAATTAAAAAAAAAAAAATCTAAAATCCCAAAATGTGCTAAAATTCAACGCCTTAGCATTGTTATGAAGTTCTTCATTATTAGGTACCTATTATTTTTTTTTGTTTGTTCCAAGTTGTAGATTGTAGATTGTAGATTTCGGAGGAGTCGTTTCGGCTTTTCAGCCGCTCAGCACTGCTACCTTTGCAGATATTTTGTGCGTGACTCTACATCTTAATTTGTCTCCAGGAAGCGTAGACTTCTGCCGAAGGAAGCTATTTTCCTGGGTGTCAGTTGGCCCACTTCTTCTGGTGACAGTGTTGCCCCCTCGAGGAATTTGAGCCTCTTGCAGAATTGGGCTGGACATTCGCAGAGCAGGTGCTCTGCGGTTTCTATTGCGTCTGAGCAGAATCTGCAGAGATCGTCTTCTGCTTTGTCCATTAACCTTAAATGGTATTTTACTGGGCAGTGTCCTGTGAGCAGTCCCACCACCAATCTGATGTCTGGTCTGCTCATGCTTAGGAGCTGTTCAGCTCTTTTTGCTGAAAGGGTAATAAACCTTTTTGACTGTCTGAGTCCCGGTGTGTGCCTCCAATATGATGACAGTTGGTCTTTCTCCCATTTGTTGAGTTCTGCCATGATGTGGCTTTTCATTAAGCCACAGTAGGGCTCTGGTCCATGGTATGGTGTTGAGGCCCCTTCCTTTGCGAGGCCATCTGCCTCTTCGTTTCCTTCTATGCCTCGATGACCAGGCATCCACATCAGCGTTACCTGGTTATGTGTCGCTAGTGTTTTTAGGGTCTGTTTACACTCCCAGACTAGTTTTGACGTGCATTTGAAAGCGCTCAAGGCTTTTAAGGCAGCTTGGCTGTCCGATAGTATGAAGATGTGTTTTCTTTTGAGGCTTTGGTTAAGACACTCTTGTGCACATATATCTATGGCAAGCAGTTCGGCTTGAAATATTGTAAGATGTTTACCCAATGCTTTGGAAATGCCCAGACCAGCTCCTACCATTAGCTTGGATTCATCTGTGTACCACAGAGATGCATTGTCTGCTTGTGGTAGTTCTTTATTCTCCCATGATTGGCGGTCGTTTATTACCATTGCGAAGAGGATCTCTAAGTCCAATCTGACCATCATGTGGTCACTTGGTTTGCTGGCATTCTCCAGTGTTATCAGGTCAAGGATTTTCAGATGTCCCCTCAGATCGCCAGGCTTGAACTTGTCTATTTGGAATAGCCTGTGAGCGGTGGTTATTGCCTCCTTTTTCACACATAGGTGAAGTGGGGGCATGTTGAGTAGCGTCTCTAGGGCTGCGGTGGGGCAAGTTGACATTGCTCCCGTTATTCCTAGACATATCAGCCTTCGCACCTTTCTTAGCTTAATCTGAGCGGTGACTTGTTGGGTTTTGGGCCACCACACCAAGGCGTATGTGACCATGGGCTTTATTATGGTTTGGTAGATCCAGAATACCATCTTTGGCTTTAGCCCCCATGTTTTGCCAACAAGTCTTCGGCATGACCAAATGGCTGATGTAGCTCGAGAGCATGTTTTCTCTAACTGTTTGTTCCAAGTGAGTGTTTGGTCCAGGGTGACCCCTAAGTACTTCACTTCGTTGGAAAATGTTAGTTGTGTACCGTTAAGGGTCGGGGCTTTCAAATTTAGCTTCCTTCTTCTTGTGAACGGGACAAGGATTGTTTTGTTTGCGTTTAGGGATAGTCCTTCGCCTTCGCTCCAATTTTTAACGATGTTTAGGGCACTATGCATTCGGCTTGTCACTATACCTTCATGCTTGCCCTTGATTACAATGGCTAGGTCATCTGCGTAACCTATGACCTGGTATCCAGCACTACTCGGTCTGGTGAGAATTTTGTCTACCACCAGTGTCCATAGTAGCGGAGAAAGTTCCAAGTTGAATTTTTCTTTGTTTTTTCTTGTTTTCTCTTAATTTTATGTAACCACTCATTTGCAGTTTTTTCATCTTCCAAAACAATATCATACCTAATAATATTTTACCATTTATATTTAATAGGAAGGAATGTACGAACGTCATATAAAAAAAAGACACCTAGTAAAACCAAGGAATGCATACCAATTTTAATTTGATCTAAATTTCAGTACTGCTTGTGACACAGAATAAGCGACAGGCATTTCTGCATGTGTTTTATTTTTTTTTAAAAAATAGTATATTGTGTATTTAGGTGGAAAAGTGACACATTCTCGGCCGACGGTGTAAGTTGACGGGCGAGGCGTAGTCGAGGCCGGCAAACACCGATTCCTTAGCAACACCTGATTCCTTAGCAACTATTGAAACATAATTAAAATACCAGAATAATGGGTTTTGCGACCTGTCAACTGGTCAAAAATGCTGTCATTTCTTGTCAATCTCAGAAAAACCATGTTTTTGAATTTTTGTTTGTTGTACCTATAAGTAACTCTGTTTGTCATTCTGTGTAACATCGTCCTCGTCATTATACAAAAAATATTTATAAGTTTTAAAATGTAAAAACATCTGTGGTAAGTGCTTTCTTTTTGTGTCCTAAAACGTTTTTTGATTTCCTTTTTTTTATATATATTTTTAGCTTTTACAATTTTGACTTTGCTATTTCTGAGGATGGAATTAAATGAAAATTCCGAAAAATAAAAAAAAAAATTGTTTCATTTTTCAACCTGACTGACTACCAAGAAAACCTCCACTATTTCAAAAAAACAGTCAAGAAACCGCATCAAAAAATTAGGTATTATTATTATGCTCTTGCGAAATTAACTTACCACTGAACTTATACGAGTCATTAACCTTTGTTTATTTATTACTTTCAATGAAAGAAAAAATTGAATTTCAGAAATAAAAAAATTAAATTATTGAATATACTTATCGTACAATTTAATCATTTTATTATTATTAATAGCGTTAACCGTTGAAAAATTCCATGGGCCTCAATGGCTTCGTGGTTAAGATGTCTCTTAAGTGATGGTGGGTTCACATTCTGACTCGAATCAGATTTTTGTTTTTAATTGTAATGTAATTTAGTAAGCCCAATATGCTATTGTTAATTAAAGTAATATCACAGCAAATACAAAAACAATCAGCAGGCTAACTTGAGTGACAGCCCGTGTAATAAAGGAATTCATCGTCAAAATGTCACTAGCGGTCATTTTGGGATACGAAACAGGGCCTGATTAACGATAATTTAGGTTTTTTCTTTCCTTTGACAGAGTCGTATTGGCTTTAAATAAACTAATTTATTATTACTTACATATAATAATATTTATAATTACTAATTTATTATTATTATTGAATATACAAGAATGATAACAGATAACACCATAAATGACAACACGAATATATTAAAATCATTTTGAAAATCATAGCTAAAATTCCGCTCTACACTGCACGCCTATGACCTCCGTCAGAAATAAACAAATAAAATAAAATTTCGGCGCTCCTGCCGTTTAATGACAGCGTTATGACAAAATGGTATCCCCTCATGGCGGCGTGCGCAGAAAAGATGCGCGTGAGAGTTAGCCTGCTGATAATTCAAACAGCATTCTTATGCTGTTAAGCTCAAAATATATGAAAAATCTTATTGACTAACACTTGCTAAAATAATAATGTATAGATAAATACCTGTTTTATTCTAAAATTACTTCACCATGTCTATAATATTGGGTTTGCGTTCGCTTTTCACCTAATTTTAATTTACTATTGTCCATTTTTTACACAACCTCTCGGTAAAACGTCCATATTTGTATACGTAATTTCCAAATATCTCTGGTAATTTCATTAGGCACCCCTAAAAAAAATGCTAAAAGAGAATTTTCTTGCTCCTCAATCTTCCTTCGTCTTTTTTTGGACATCTTGCTATTTATTGTAGTTAAATGGCCTTCGTGTACCAGTCCCTTTTAACTCATACTGTGATAGGTACTTCATGGGATAGACTCGCAGGGTCTTAGGGCAGGATCGCCATGTAATGGGTTTCTACTATAACCCTTTGGATATTAGGTAACCCGCAGGATCGTTCATCCGAGGACTTAATAAAAGACGTGTTGTTGCTTAGAAGTTCTGTATTAGATTCGTTGTCAAAATATGTGTTGCATTACCAACTGGGTCAGTGTGACCTGCTTATTCAGCACATTAATATTATATTGGTTTAGCAATTACAGTAAATACTAATTATACAGGGTGTGCACTATATGGGCACCACACCAATGCTTTATATAGGCTTTCCAAAATAAATATCCATCACGGAAAGAGCTACTCACTAATAAGGAGAAGAAAGAGCGGGAAAGATTTTCCTCATCTTATATTTCATCCTACCTTATATGTTCATGCCTAAAAATATTCAAGCTGTTTTTCACACTACAAACAATATTCATAATAATTAAATTTAAAGACTGAATTTCAAAAGTTAATGGGTTTTAAAGTTTATTTTTATAAAAAAAAAACATGCCTATTTCAAATTTTATAAAGGAAACTCGAAAACCGACACGTTTTATTGTTTATGCATTTTAAGCCACGAGTCGGTTATTCTAACAACGGTTATACTTAGTTGTGATGTTTATGTGTCGATGATGCTTGAGCTTGATTAGTATAAAATACGCCTGAACGGTTCGAGTTCATTCATTCCGTTGTTATCGCATTACCTACCATGAATGCTTCAAAACAAACAAAAAATTTCACGTCCGCAACTTTTAGAAATTAACTATCGCGGTCGAAAAGTTCTTACTCCTCATTTAAAATTACATTACGATATTGAAACTAAAGAAGTGATTGTTCGTATAAAATCAGACATCGGTATTAGTTCTGATGATCCCACTGATCTCGCTATCGGTATTGTATCTCCCAACACTCCTGTTGAAGCTGAAGAAAAAACAAATCCTTTTCTCTCTTTTCCATATAGAAAAATTTTAGCCTCAAGAAAACGACTAAGAAAAAACCATCTTCTGATAAACCAAGAAGAAGAAGAAGTAGTAGAAAAAGAAGGAGAACAAGAAGGAGAACAAGAAGATGAAGAAGAAGAAGAAGAAGAAGAAGAAGAAGAAGAAGAAGAAGAAGTGACTAGTTTCTTTCATGTACCATAATCTACCTTATAACTTCAATTATTATTAACACAAACTGACAAAATTTTGTCAAATCAATCATCATTATACAATTTTTTATGACCATTTTTAGGAATGTTTCTACAATATTTCTACTCTAAGAACTTATTTTGAACTCACTTCTGTGAGTACCCATCTTTTATATTGTTTTCTATTGTATAATTTTTGTTTTTTATAGTTGTATTGAGGAAGAAGTTAAATAAACTTCGAAAGCTTTACAAGAAAAAAAGAGTCTTACTTTATTATTGGCCGTATCCCCACCAGTGTTGTCGAAGCTACCGAAATTTCGGTATTTTTACCGAAATGGCAACAGACCTACTGAAATACCGAATACCGATAAATTTTTACCGACTTTCGAGTCAATTTTATCGTTTTTGTTTCTGCCAATTTTTCTATCCATAGCCGGACCCCATGTACTATCGAATTTTTTGTCCGTGTCGTTAAATAGATCCTCCGACGACAAATTTGTTAACAGGTTGGTATTAGTGCATTTCCTTTGGGGAATCCCCGTCGTGTTTCCTGTGATATCCAAATTTTTCCCATTCTTTCGTCAATATTGAGCGCACATTCTCAGTAATAAATCGAATGAAAACAGTACAAAGAAATAAACTTTCCACGGAAACAATCATTGAACTTTTACATACTCAGCGACATATAAAAGCGGCTAACTGTCATGATTTTGAAATCATTAAACAATTGACTTTGAATATGTTCAAGGAATATTGGTATGATCCAAATCGCATGAATTAATCTGTATATCCATTTTTCTACGAGCGTGCGGGAAATGGCTCTTCCCGCACGATTTGCTGTGCGGGAAGAGATTTCTTCCCGCACGAATTGCTGTGCGGGAAGACTTTCTCCTCGTGCGAGAAATTTCTCTTCCCGCAGTTGTCAGGAAAATAGCTATATGTTTCTTTAATTTTCTTAAATAAAATATATTTGATTTTCCGATTTATAATGTAATATTTATTAAATCATGCAAAACACGGCAATGTTGGATTTTAGTCTTTATGCTATACCAAAGTTTGGTTATACCGGTTATACCTACCGATTTTGCGCAGCAATCTACCGATTTTCAACGCCAATTTCTCCCGATTTAGTATTTTGAAGTTCGACAACACTGATCCCCACAAATAACTTTCATCAATACAGGGCGTCCCAATAGAAAGTGACCGATTTTGAATGCTTATAACTTTTAAAACAGGTGTGCTAGCTACCTGCGATTTGCGCCATTCGACTTTTCTTGGCTTGAAGTTTTTTTTTCAGTTACTTAGTTGCAAATTTTTTTCACACCTATACAGGGCGAATAAAAAAAATGCCGTTTTTCAACATCGAAATTCTCCACTATTTTTAATGGAACACCCTGAGGGTGGGTATTATAAAACTGCTCTGACAGCTAACTTAGAGTTAACTTTTTGAATTACATGTAATTCAAGAAGTTAACTTTAAGTTAACTCTCAAAGTAGTTTTATAATACCCGCCCTGAATGTTGCAACGCTAAAATTAAGAGTCGTGACCAATGTATTCATTTGCCAATAAACGTCGGCCTTTTTTGAACCTAAAAAAATGCATTTATTTTTGGACCAGATTTCTATTTCAATTTTTTAGGGCTAAAACTTCAAGTTCCATGCCCGATGCACAGAATGCCGTTTTGAAATTAAAAAGATTCCGAATATTTCCGGAGATATTTGGAAAAACCCGAAATTTTGTAAAATGGTTTTTATTTTTTTCCGGGTTTATTTGAAGAGCAATTTTAAAATAAAGGTCACATCATCATTGTCACTTCTTTCCCTCTAGAAGATGGTGCTACTAAATTTAAAATCCGACGTTTCGTCTTCAGGCGGCCATCTTCAACTTACTTTTTTCAAATACGAATCTGGATTTTTTATTTGCGATCTTGTCATCTTTGGGCATCCTGAAACCGATACTGTTTAAAATTTTTCAATAACACAGTAAAAAAAGCAAGTCCGTATTTAAGAAAAATAAATTGATGATGATTCCAGAGGAACGAAACGTTGGATTTTAAATTTAATACGGCCATCTTGTAGAGAAGAAAAAGTGACAATGAGAATGTGAAATTAGTTTTTCAAAATCTTTTCAAATGAAAAAAATTTGAAAAATACGAGAAACTCATGTTTTTTTTCGTATAGTTTTGATTTTTTCCTGATTTTATTTTGAAAGATTGTGAAAAACTAATTTCACATTCTCATTGTCACTTTTTCTTCTTTACAAGATGGCGGTATTAAATTTAAAATCCAACGTATCGTTCCTCGGGAATCATCATCAATTTTTTTTTTTTTAATACGGACCTTCTTTTTTTACTGTGTTATTGAAAAATTATAAACAGTATCGGTTTTAGGATGCCCAAAGATGACAAAATCGTAAATAAAAAATCCAGGTCCGTATTTAAAAAAAGTAAGTTGATGATGGCCGCCTGAAGACGAAACGTCGAATTTTAATTTTAGTAGCACCATCTTCTAGAGGGGAAAAAGTGACAATGATGAAGTGACATTTATTTCAAAATTGCTCTTCAAATAAGCCTAGGAACAAATAAAAACGATTTTACAAAGTTTTGGTTTTTTACGAATATCTCCGGAAGTATTCGGAATCTTTCCAATTTCAAAACGGCATTATATTGGTCATAAAATTGTGCAACTTTGCCATAGTTTAACCGAGCCCGTATCTCTTATGGTTTCCGAGATACGAATGATGAAGCTCGAATTTGGGCCACCCTGACACGACTCTTAATTTTGGCGTTGAAACATACATGGTGTTTCAAAAAAAATAGTGGAGAATTTTGATGTTGAAAAACGGCATTTTTTTACTCGCCCTCTCGCTCGCCCTGTATAAGTATGAAGAAAATTTGCAACTAACTGGAAAAAACTTTAGGCCAAGAGATGTCGAATGGTGCAGATCGCAGGTAGCTAGCACACCTGGTTTAGAAGTTATAAGCATTTACAATCGATCACTTTCTATTGGGACACCCTGTATATAGTTCGAACCACAAAATTGTCCTGATCTTATTATAGTACATACATACAAAGTGAGTTTTAAGTATGGAACGTCTCAATTATCTCAAAAAGGGCTTGCACGATTTTGAGGAATTTTGGTGTGAACGAGTATTACAATATGGCCGATATTCTGGTAGTATTTACATGGTTGTCAGATTTTTCGTTTTTCAGGAAATATCTGAAACTTCGTTTTTTCAAATGGATCATCCTGTATATTTTGATATTTCTGGGTTCTGCGGAAAATTCTAGACATATTTCATGTGCAATCTTCAACTGTTTCCGAATGATTGACAGTTGAAAATAGACTTTTTCACAACTTTGACAGACTGTAAAATCTAAACGGTCGATTTTACAGCAAAACCGATCATACATTCTTGTCTTAGTTTTTCATAAACTATCATTTGACACCAACTTTGAATTTAATCCATAATTAAAAAGTTTGCTTAAATTTAATCCATGATTAAAAAGTTCGCTTAAATTTAATCTCTGGTTAAATTCATAGTTGATATCAAATGATAACTTGAACCAAAATGCCTGTTTGGCTCTGTGATATTTTACCGAGTATTCTACTCTGTCCAATGGTTATAAGTTTACAGGCCACTAATAGTACAATGTATGAATTATTATAAATTGGTTCTACTGTTTTCAGAAACCTTAGTTAAGTACACTGCTTGATAGATGTCGCCACGCGTTCTATTTCTAAACTTAAAATACGACGTCGAGGTGAATTCTCTTTCCTTATCAGCAAGTGTTTTTTTTGGACTTGTTTAGTTGTCCGGTTTTTTGATAACCATCGCATTCTTTGCTATTTTATCCTAAACTGGGCAGCTACAAAGATATACTAAATTGTGTACAATAATTATTAATATAAATTATTGGCCGCTTTTTGTCTGAGTGCCAGGTAAATAATTATTAATCTTATATTTTTATGCAACATGCACATTTATTATTGTAAATTTTTCCAGTTTTTGGATTTCACGAGTGTGTGTTTGTGCGAATAAAATCATCTGATCGCCTCGCTAAGTAGTCTTTGCTTTACAAAAACCCACACCCGAAGTTATTTTGCCACAAACTTATGAAAAGCTACAGGCAAGAATGCCGAATAGGTTTGTCTGTGAAATTCGCCATTTAGGTTACACAGCTTGTCAAAGTAGCAAAAATGTCAATTTTCAATTGTCAATATTTCTGAAACAGTCCAAGATAGGTATACGACATTGTACATGAAATACGTGTAGAATTTCCCGCAGAACCCAGAAATGTCATAATATACAGGGTGATCTATTTGAAAAAACAAAGTTCCTGATATTTCTTGAAAAACGAGAGATTTGACAACCATGAAAATACTTCCATATTATCGGCCATATTGCAATACTCGTTCACACCAAAATTGATAAAAATCGTACAAGCCGTTTTCGAGATAATTTAGACGATCCATACTTTAAAACTCACTCTGATTACTCGCAAGCAATGGGCAAAACCACACCGTTATAAGTTTGTGTGACAATTTCTATGACATCGTATATATTTGGTTGAGCCGTCTCCAACATATTTGGTTCTAAAACTTTCAAAAATATTATCAGAGAAACCAAATACCTCAAATTTCACCTGCAGTTTTCACTTGTACAGGGTGTTTCAAATTCGAGCCAAAGTTTAACCCACAAGCCCTAGCGAGTGGGTTAATATCCTTCGAATGAATAAACATTTTAACTCTAGTGATGTATACAAAATTTTATCCCATTTTGTGGAAATTTAAAAATAATACATACAAGGAAAAATTCCGAGAGTGAGTTAAAAATATCTTAAATCACTGAGATTTCAGATGTTTAGTTGGGCAGAGTAATTTAAAATGCCGAGAGTGAGTTAAAATGTTTTTATCTACGACCTGCACAATGAGTGACTATTATGTTACTAATTTTTGCTAATTTGCGTTATGTAATGAGCCCTATTACCGCACTAGTGCGGTAATTAATC